TATATATATACTCTCTGCCTTGGTCCACACTGCAGCGATGGATACTTGAGGAGCTAATTGTGGAATGGCGAAAAGATACGATAAATGGGTTTTATTTACTTCTGGGAATTCCGTATCATTCCAGGACATAATTTAGCTTTATGAGAGGCAGTTTTAATTGTCGAATTTGTGATGATACTTACTTCAAAATATTTAGTTTTCGTACCTAATGTTCTAGCACGCTTTGTAATGAGTTTTACAACAAAAAAATATATGAGGGAGATGTGTTAATTGCGGTAAAAATATTATTAAGTATCCGTTACTAAAGACGAGAAAGTTTATGGTGTTTTAGCTCTAGTTTTTACTAACAAGAAATTGTACGTGACATTATTTAAACAGGTGATTTTGAAGAACAGATTTTATTAATAAAGCAATCTCAATATTCTATTTCTAAATCAAACGTGCACAGTTTTTATAATTGTTGATTGCACTATTTAACCAAACTGTCATCAGCTTCTCCAGTCCTATCCGTCCGCTCTCTCCTTTCTGCCATGGCCGGTGGGTCACAACTGCTGCCCCCCAAATCCTGCCCATTCTACTTTGCGACTTCCTCTCATCACGCTTCGCCAGTCTCTCTCTCTCTCTCTCTCTCTCTCTCTCTCTCTCTCTCTTTATATATATAAAGAATTAAAAGAGTAGCATATGTGTCAAGCCTAAGAAGGTTCTTGCGGGTACATTTTCATATATCTAATGTTTTTATTAAGGAACAATATACTGTACTTCTGATTAATTAAAAAAAAATTACATACTAGTTGTACACTATAGTGAATATTATAAAAATACTATTGTAATGTTGGTTTTCCATTCACTGCCCTTCTGGTTGATTCATTTCAGTTTCAATTGTGGTACCCCTCTCACTGCAAACGTAATTGTTTAATAACCTGTGTAATTATTTCAACTCAAAATGCCTGTAAGCTTGCAATATTTTTTTTAATGATGAATTCAAACAAATTTTCTTACGCTAAAATTCATTTCTTGTTCATTTGCTTTTCTTTTCAGACCCAAACGAATCAATTTCCCTCAAGGATTGGTCTATCGTGGTAGCAGTGGACATTGCCCACAAGCCAAATCTGATAGTTCAATGGCCAACTGTTCCTGACAAATACAACGTTTCAGAATACCACGTTCGAATAAATAAAAGTGTACCAAAGGTAATATGGCATAGCTAATTTGTATGTATGTATATATATATATATATATATATATATATATATATATATATATATATATATATACACACACACACACACTATATAACTATGTAGGTTGCTTCAAAATCGCCCTTGGAACCTCTGATTATTTTTAATGTTTTCTGGCGCGTCAGCTGCTGTGGTAATTAGTACTGTAAGTGTAGTGCATGTTTCACCATGGGAGGAGGTCTTCGTCTTCTCAATGGCGAGATCCAGTGCTGACCTATACGCCTGCTTACGGGTTTTCCTGTCCAGGTATCTCCACAAACATGGCACCGCCCCAGCTGGAACACGCTCCATGTTCCCGACCTGATTTCCGACGTGTGTAAAAGTGTGTAAACGAGGGGAGGGGATAAGTCAGGGAAGAAATCGCAAAGATTGCGCGCGGTCTGCGGGCTCTTTTGTTAAAGTCCTCCTCTGGCATTCGCCAGGTATTGATTGAAGGAGCCACGGAAAATTACCGATCAGAGCAGCCGGCCGATAGAATTTCCTTCCAGACGGCAGCAGAATTTGATCTGTGAGAGCTTAGGCTTCCGCGGCCGGAGTCGGTATTTACTGGGCTGTCCGGGTGACGCCGCGTCCATGGCGAAGGTGTCGCAGAATGGCGACCGAAACATCAGCACCTTCGCCGTAGTCGTGGCGTCACCCGGACAGCCTAGTAAATCCTGACTCCGGCCGCAGAAGCCTGCGCTCTCACGTCTACGTCACTTTACGACGCATTGCCTGATGAAATTAAACAATTAAAGTCGGTACACAAATGTAAGTTAAAAGTAAAATCTTTTCTGCTGCATAACTGTTTCTATACTACAAAAGCTACTTCTACTTGACAGCTCTCGGCTGACAGGAGAGAGGGGATTCCTTTATCCAATCAGTGGCTTCAAATTGTGATGTTGCCAGTGCAGAGTTGCCGATGCTTATTAAGAAAAAAAATGAAATATCACAGTGCGAAGTAACTGTACATTAAGAGCGCCATTACGTCTTTGGTTTTGCATTGTGTGTGAGGTTCTGTGTCGTCTGTTATGTGCTCTTATGGCGATTTGTTTCTTGCTACTGGGGTGATCTTATCCAAAACGACCACAGGATCACGCATATGCCGTCCGAGTTCGTGGCAACATCGCTCCACCCCCACCCCACCTCAGCTGCCAAGTAGATAGAAAACCTAATAGGTTTGTTCCAGCAGCAGTCCCAAACAGTCCCGAACTAGTCCGCGCTTGCGCAGCCTAGTATTAGGCGTTCCAGCACCAGCAGTCAGGGATTGCGACTGGGAGTTGGGCGTTCCAGTAGGGTTGCTGATCAGTTTGAAACCAGTCCGAATCAGTTCGTACACTCTCCCTCAAACTAGAAATCCGCGCATGCGTACTTCGGTCCCCGAGTTCCCGCCAACGCCAAACTTCGACGACTCGCCATTCACGTTTCCATCAGGTTTCTGCACAGGTGTTTTACATTCTGCTCTATATATTTTGACCCTGATTTGTTTTACATTTTATTGATTCTTGGTTTTTGGTGATTTCGCTTTCTTTCGGATTTTTCTCGTGGATATTGGAATTTGACCCTGCTTGATTTTACGCTTCGTTGATTTTTTAAAGTTTTTTTCAAGTAGTTTTTTTTCAATCCCGTGCTTCTTCAAAATTTATTTTCATTCATTTATAGTTAAAACGATGGGAAGGAATTCTGGAACTCAAGAAAACATGCGCAGATCATCTTTTCCCCCATATGTCACATATACAATTTTTTTACTTTTTTAAAATTTGTTTTTACTAAATCAATCTAAATTCTTGGATTTTGGTGAGTTAGCTATCTTTCGGATTTTCTTGTGGATATTGGAACTTGATATTTGTTTCTTTTTTGGGAAATGGAAGGTAAGTAATTTTAAGGAAGTTCCTTGTACCATGACTTCCTAAATATGTATGTAGTTATTTACCGTTCTGTATTGGTAGCGTTATCTCTCATTTTTAAGAAAAATACAATTAACCGAAATCCAAAAGAATAATTTAAAAAAGTGCAAGTCACAGTTTACCAGGTTCAAAATCTGTAATTGATAGCGAGGTCAAGAAAATAAGCGAGCAATAATGGAGAAACGTAAAGCGCAAGTGAATACCACAGGAATACCAGGAACTAGCCAGAGTCAGGTCGCTTTGATTTTTACATGCGATACGAAAATTATATCTGGCGGAGAATTCTGCAACTACCGATGAAACGAAAGCAGCGGCACCTATAGACTGATTTTTGTGCCAACTTGTTCCAGCAGATCCCAATCCGGGACTAGTTTCCGACTAGTTTGCACTCGCGCATGCGCAGAGTGAGAGAACGTAAATCAGTCCGTGATTGTTTGCGAGAACAAACCTATTATTTTGACAATATATAACTAGAGAATACACTGATCATGAAAAAGTGAAAGAAGTTTATTTTAACAAAACAGCGATATATGATAAAGTAGTTTACATTTGTATTGTATATTTTTTACTTAACTATGTATTATTATTGTAATATTTCATTCATCATCCTCGTCCTATCCTCTGCCGTTACTTACACACACATACATTTACATGCGCTAAACTCCCTCGCATGGCGGGAGACCAGTTTAGGGCCGACCTGAGGCTAGGGATGTTCGATTCCTGTAAAAGAATCGATTCTAGAATCGATCCCTAAATCAAAAAGTTGGAGTCGATTCTAGAATCGAATTGAAAGAAAGAATCGATTCCCTAAGGAATCGAATCACAAAAGAACACTGTTCAACGAAGGTATCGATACCGTAATAGGGCAATTACTATTTAATAAAACACAACCAGGTGTTATTAATTAAATTTTAATAACATTAATAATTAACTACGTGCCCGAAAAATATTATTGATGAAATAATGACATTGACATAAGGTAATAGAATGTTTCAATGAAAAATATATTATAACATCAATAGTAGTATGAACTAATCAAAGAAATTGTAATGGATTCAAAGAAACACAACTTCAAGCTATGCGATTCAGTAAGATTTGTTTTTTAAATTGAGATGCAAAAAATGTAATTGAACCAAGAGGTTTGATTTGAAGGAATTGGAAGGTGGAGGCATGCGGGGAGTAGATTTCAAACACAAGGACGTCTATAAAATTAATAAACTAATAACTACATTAATAATAAATACAAACGACAAAAAAACTGGAAAATACAACAAAAGCGCAGGAACCTGTTTTTTTAATCGAAGGAATTCATTTTATTCGATTCCGGCATTTTGGAATCGATTCCATCAAGATTCGGAAGATAAAAAGGGAAAACCGATTCCACAGGAATTGAAGATTCCATCAAGAATCGATTCCGGAATCGAATCGGGACATCCCTAGCTGGGGCGGTGCACCACTGGTGGGAAATACCTGGTTGAGGAAATCTCCATAAGGCGACTTAGGTCTGCGCCAGATCTTGCCATCTAACGGGCGAATATCACCTCTCCCTTTATTTAAAAAAGTGCAGTACATGTTCGGGGCTAATGACACCGAATTACAAATAAATCGATAAAACGAACCGCCAACAAATTTTCTCAACTCATATCAGTTCTTAAAATCAGCCTATTTACTCCCGTTCTCTTTACATCTCTGTATTACATGTGTGTATGTATGTACTTGGCGCAACAGCCCGTGAACGAGCTCAGGCCTACCAGGGTGGTCCCTGCCTCGCGGGGATGGGTTAAGGGGGTACGTGTGGTTAGCATGTAGACATCCAGTGTTGCCATATCGGCGGAATTCCCGCCGTTTTCAGCGGATTTTGAACTCGTACGGCGGAAAAAAAATTAGTTTTGCGGACAGCGGAATAAACGGCGGAAATTAATAAAGACGGTGGACAATAAGCGGAATTTTAAATCTTCACTATTAAGGCCTGGACACATATAGCGTGTTCGAGCAGAAACATTTTAAAATAATAATAAAAGACTGACAATCCAGTCTACATAAGTGCGTCCTTTATTATTATTTTAAAATATTGGTGCTCGAATACGCCAATAACGATGGCTATGACCAAGAATAAGCAATTGTCCTTATCTATTTCATGAATTCATAAGCCTTTGTCCTATTCTATCATTATTTTCTATCATTTGTTTTAGTACAATAAATTTATACAACATTTTAATATGGAAAAAGATTTTATTTTACGTTTAGCGGATTTAGGTGGGAAATTTAAAACCAGTTCAGCGGATTTTCGGCGGAAACTGAAACGAACGTGGGGAATTTCTCTAAACACATCTGGTAACAATGTAGACATCCCCACGCCGGATTCCGGTCTTCTCGACCTGACAAGTGGATTTTCTTATCGCCACGATGCAACATATACTGGGACATTGCAAGGAAAATGCACACTGTATTCTTGGCTCGACCGTAGTGGAAAGCGAGCACGCTGACCAACAGCTAGTCACGAACACTGTATTGACCTACACTGTGTAATAAAGATTTCCGTTGTGTAGGTTGTGAACCTCTCATTCTGCCAGGATGGCTACTGCTCCTGCGAGCTGTTTGGAGGTTATTCCTCACGCAATATCAGTATTTCAGTGCAACCTGTTCACAAGGACTGCATTGGATCTTGCTATTCGTACTCTCCAATCATCTCTTTAGGTGAGTGTATTGTAGAATATCAGACTCAATTTTTTTTTCTTTTTCTTTTTTCTTTTTTTCTTTTTTTTTTTTCAAAAAGACAACCTTTAGTGAACTTTAGTGTTTTTATTGAAATAGGGCCTGTAACTTTCAGTTATGTCGCCATTTTAGAGCTATATTAATGATTTCATGGGTTCAAGGCATGAAAAAAATATGCCTCCTCTCCCATGGCCTTCATAACAAAAGAGGCCATGCCTCTCCCCATTAATATTGGTAAATGAACACCTGTAAACAAAATTAGTATGAAAATAACATTTGAATCTTTCAACTTGCAAGTTTGATATTGAAATAATGACAATATATAACATGCATACATTTATATTTTAAAATAACTTTTGTCTGAATTATTGTTTGGCACCCTTATGTCAGAAATGCAATATCCATTTTCACTTTTCTTGCTTAGTACGTACCCATTTGATAATGCGGAAAGTGGCAATTTTTCGGGGAAATATCGTATTGTTGGACCCTTATATTGAAAAAGGGGATAAATCTTTGTTATATAAAATAAGAACACATGGACTTAGAAACTGTTTATTGACGTGTGTGCAGGCTATATTCATACAACTCATTCTTCAGGATAAGAATCATCGGATGAGCATCATAGTCGCGATACGTATATATAATATATATTTATATATAATTATACTAGAATATAATATATATACAGTCACTAGTTACATAGTAATCCTGTAGATGTCAGTAAATACAATTTCTCTAAAATAAATGTACGTAAATATTCCAACAATCTTGCTCCTGCAAGTAGTAAATTACATCCTCTTACAATGTGTAGTATGAAAACACGTGTCAGAGGTCCTTACTACAGAAAAATTGGTTGACTGCAAAACCTCTTTCTGTGGTCCACACACACAGTGGTTAACTCGTTCAGACGATTTACTTCAAAACTGACATTTTCGAATCGATCTGGCCGTTTTCAAGGCATGCGAATTTGAAACGAATATTTTTTGTTCGGGAGGGGGAGGGTACTTAACATGAAGTTTCAACATTTTCAAAATATTTGGATAAAATTTGTTTCCAGGATAAAGCAAAGTAGGTACGCTTATAAACATTTCGCACGTCCCATTTTCATTGATTTCTCTATCTTTTCGGAATTGCAATAGTAAAAACCTATAAAATTGATGATACATATTTTCTCTTAATAAAATCTGCTCTAAAAATTAGATTTTTAAATAAAGTCATATACAAGTGTGTAAAAATATGAGTATTTTTCACCTAATTCTGGCGTGAAATAAAGGCAACTAAAAAAAACACAAAAAAACAAACAAACTACATGAGTATGAGCGCCACTTCCGTTTTCGTTGAACTCTGTATTTGTGAACATTACAAAAGTTTAAAATTGTTTTCGGCGTCCTACTACAATAACAGTATTGAAGATAGAGAATTTTTCTTAATGAATTTGATTTTTACTTTCTCACTTCTGCTAACGCAGTGTAGAGAAAGTATTGTAATGCTGCGGGGGGGGGGGCGTCGAATTGTCGGCAGAAAAATTCTTATTGCCAATCGTAGGTGGATAAATCTTGTTCACATACTTAGAAAATTACGTCCTCTAAACACATTGTGTAGTCAGAATCCATGTTGCGTTGGTACTTGGTGCCGAGAAATCGACTGACGGCAAATCGTTTGTCCGTCTGTGAACAGAACTTGTGGCTTAGCCATAAGTAGGATTTTCATCAAAATTGATATTCCCTGAATGATTTGACTGATGTCGCGGCCCCTTGAATTTGAAATGCATATTTTGATCTTGGGAGTTGCTTTGCATAGAGCACCTACTTCATTTTCAAAATTTTCAAACATATAGCTCTATTTTTTTAAAAATAAATGTTGTCGTCAGATAAAGTACTGGACGCTTAAGAGAGTGTATGTCTCATTTTGGTTAAAATACCAGATTTTGCGAAAATTTTCAAAAGTTCAATTCTCTTTGTATTCTGCAACTACAATATTTATAGCACAATGAATTAATGGTTTATTAAAATTAAAAAGTACTCATAATCTATAAATTCGCAACGCTAATGTAACTATTAATTTTTGGTGTAATTTGAGCAACAGGAATTATTTGCATTTCAGAAATAGCCTAAATTATATTTTTTTGTTTCTTTTATACACATTTGAATTTTTTGATTTGTTTCTTTTGCACTTACTAGTAACATTGAACATATTGTAGACTATAGATTTTGTACTTGATTGATATCCCTATTTATTCTTGTGTTAGTGTTTCATGTTTTTTATTGTTGATGTTGCAGAAACATGGGTGCCACTTTATTTCACACTACCAGCAGTATTGGTGCCCCTTGTGCTAATTTTATTTTTAATCTTCTCTGTGTATTACTTCTGCTGCACTCCTCCACGAGGTGAGTAGATGATATTTGGTAGTGATGAGAATGGTATAATTTCAATTTTTATACGTAAATAGAGTTTTTAATGCATGAGACCAAAGATGTGATTAATATTTACATTACAATAATATACCAAAATCGTTATTTTTACTGGTACTAATGCATCCTATCATACACCCTCTTAAAAATTTTGAGTAATTTGTGAATTGTGCACAACTTAATCTGCTAAAATTAATTCTTAGTGCAATGATAGTACCCATCTCGATCAGGTTTTTTTCCAGTTTCTCTGATCCATTGAGCAAATGCTGAGATGTCCCTTTGTTTTGCTTCTGGGCGTAAATGTAGCTTCACTATGCGCACGTTTTGTTGAACTCTCCTTTTGCTTGTAGCGGCAGGAGTAGAGGTAACGGCGAGTTACTATTTCACTAGTAATGCAGAAAATAAAATCTGCAGTTCGTTTACTGTTGCAAATAAGTTTTCTATACAGTTCTCTTCGGGAATGGAAATGTCTATTTTTTCAAATATTGTTTATCTCGCGATTTTTTAAAATTTATTTATTTTCAACTCTTACTGATCTTTCAACTATTTATAGTTAAAATGACGAAATGGGTTTCTGGAACTCAAGAAAATATGCGCAGATAGTCTTTCCCCCCATACGTCACATACATTTTTTACTAGTTTTTGTAACTAAATAAATCTAAATCTAAATGATGAAATGAGAAGGCCCCACTGAAACCAGAAGAAAATAAATACAGAAAAACGTATAAGAAAATAAAGAATATAGTATAGAAAATAAGAGAAGAATATAGAGGACAAAAAAGAAAAAATAATTTCTTTGAAACTACTTACCATCAAAGATAATTGTATTCTAAAATTTTAACTACTATTGGTTTAAATGTTACAGGTTTAAACACATACTTTTTTCATCTTACAGAGCCTCCAAAAGTACTTCTCCTGTTTGAAGGTACGACTCAAGAACATTACCTTGTTGTATGCAAATTGTTCAAATACTTGAAAGAGTTTTGTGGCGTGAACTGCCTGATGGGTGATGAAGAGATTCCTGAGTCAGAGGTGAGCTTTTGTTGTTTTTTTAGTTTTATTTTTCATTAAAGAAACTCTGGCAAATGCCTTTAATTTTGGGAAATTTTATAGTATCTCATAAGCTTGAACAGACTTGGGTGTTTTTTAGCTTAGTAATATAAAACAAACCAGAGCCTCAAAAATGTAATAATGAAAAGTATCATGACATTAAATATTGTGATACAGAGGTCACATAATTGTTGACATTTCAAGTTGACTAATTTACAAATGTTTATGGGTTAGTTATCAATAATTGTAACTAGCAAGAGCTGTGTGATCATTCCCCACTTAGAAAACATGGTTTAAAAATGTGAAAATAGCTTCATACTAGATCCAACTTCAGTCAGTCACTGAATAGTATATTAAAACATGAAATGCTCGTTATAACGGGCCTAAGGACCCATCAATAACATTTTACATAGATTTCGAGGTTCTTCTCCATTCTGATCACCAAAGAATGGTGTGGAGAGGGGATACCCATAGGAGCTAAATTTCCAAAAATTGAACAGAATGTTCAAAATGGTTCCATTTCATTGAATATTTCGTAATGAAACATAACCTTCGTTCACTTGCCCCCATCCCTCCGTCTCCCCGCCAGTAATGGTTGGGCAGTATTTAAATAATTGTATTTCAAATACATACTTAAAATGTACACGTGATGAGTCCTTTGTGTAAAATAGGCCTTTCTGGAAGGAAATCCCTTTCTGTCTCTCAAGCCGCGTACATCTCCCAATGGTTGGGGCACTACCAAATTCCATCGCTACAATTGGGACAGCATGCGAGAATTCTTCTGAATACGAGTGTATGTGGATCTCTTTCATTATGTAACATATACTAGAGTACAGAAATATTCGAAAGATAATAATTTTATTTGTGTAAAACGTGTCCAAACAATAATGTTTGTTCCAAAGTGCTGGAGTGTGATCAACGTATTTGCGAAACCAACTTCTTTTCTTTTTGTTTTGTGTGTGCATTCTATTATTACTCAGATGTAGAATAGGACACACAAAATTTTTACACGGCTACTTATTGAACAGGACGGATGGTGATAATTGTGGTGTGTGCAAGATCCCTCTTTCAGTAGAACATTTGTTTGTTTGCCCTGAATATGAAAGTGCAAGAAACAAGTACAAACCAAGTTCTCTTAAAGATCTCAATAACAAAGAACAGTGCATTAAATTCATTTGCTTTGTAAAGGAAATTGAAATGTATAACAATATATAACCATATATGTAAAATTCTAAGTTACTGTGTTATTTTGTACTGATTGTGTAATTATTAAGGTAGTCGCTAATAACTCTATGTAGTTGATGCGACTGTAAATAAATCAAATCAAATCTATTATTACTCGCGCAACTTTTCTTGAATGAAGGCTTAAAGAAATGTGGTTGGAATAGTGGTATTAGTTACGAAATCGACGACCAGATTTTATGAAGCAATGCCAATCTCTGGAGAATAAGTCATGCCTTCGCAAAGTTCTCAATAATTTGCTATCTAACTTTGCCAGCAGTTCGAGGAGTTCCTGTGATAGATCTTTATCTGCTTTGGTGATTTCTTTAGATTTTGGGGGGAAATAACGGATAGAAGTTCTCGTTTTCAAAAGAAAATTGTTTCTATTTCTCGCCAGTGAAGATGTGTTTGGAATGTTGTCACCAGTGCTCGCTGCGAGCTTTTGCCCTCAGTTGTCACTGTTTATTGTGCCAGAGAGGGCGAAGCAAGGTCATCGTTCAAGAAAAGTTGCGCGAGTATTACCAGCAATTGTCTCAATGCTGTACTTCGTACTTCGATTAAAGCACTTAAGTTCGCTGTCACTTCATCAGCTGTTAAGCTGTCATCCAATCGGGAACTTGAACATCACCATACTGACGTCACTAGGGCGGGTTTCACCACGTCCGTTTAAGATTGTTAAGCGGGGCTTTAGCAGAAATAAGCGAGCTTAGGTCAAAATAGCGTTTCACCACGATTCCTAAGCGTCGCTTAGCATTAAGCTACGCTTTGAACATTAGCGCTCACCGGATGATCGCTTAAGGAACTTAAGCCGGCTTAAGGAGTCCAAAGAAACATGGCGGAGAAGTTATGTGCAATTGCAATCGGTTAAGACGAGCACGTTCCTGCATATAGAATGTCTCTACCTAGGCAAACTAGATGGATCCGCAAACTTCTTCGAAGACTCCCATGAAATTGATTTTCGGACTCGCTTTCGCCTTTCGCCTTTCGAAGAGATCAACATTACTGGTGTGGGAGCAGATCGAAGAAAATCTATAATTCATATCTAACAGATATGTAGTGTAGCATAGTTGTAACTACATAGCAGAGAACTGAAAAATTACACCTTTAATAAACAGTATTTCTTCAGGTATATCTTGCAATAGTAAAAAGATAACATTTGTAACTTAGGTTAAGGACATGATAGATTTGCATTTCAATTTTAAATACAGTACAAATTTGAACACAGAGGAATTCTTGTCATAATCCTGTTAATTTGACGTTCAGTACTTACTTACATAATTGCATATATATATATATATATATATATATATATATATATATATATATGCGTGTGCGTGCGTGTGTGTGTGTGTGGACGGGGGGATGATTTATGAATTCAATACATTAGTGACGATTACGAAAAAATAAACTTTGCACAGAACTTTGTGACACTATTCAAGGTTTAACAAATATTTGACTTTTGTATCGAATTTAATCGTTTTATATCATCTAATAAGGTGTTGTAAAATAATGTACGTGAATTGGAGAAGTTAATTTGAAGTTACACATATATCCAGAAGCAAAACAAGGGACCATTTCATTTGCTCAAGGGTTATGGGATCTGGACGAAAACTTGTTCGAGATGGGGGTCATTGACCCAGAAGCTGAAGTACATTACTTGTTACAGATTCTTTACAATTATAGGTGTTGTGGTGCGTTATCGTTGGCATTTTTCATGAAATAATTATAAACGTTGTCATTGCCACAGCATTCGATGGCTTAGCCATCATCATCAGTTGTCTGGTACAAGAAGAAAAAACAAAACATTAAAACTTGAATTTTCCTTTGATTTTACAACAAAATTATAATAGAGGTTACAAATAATTTACAATTTGTTTGGAAAATATATTTAACATTCTAGAAACTGGAAGAAAGAAAAAAGTGGTGGTGGGGGGGGGTCAGTCATTAATACTAAAGGAAAGTGAATGAAATAGAATTAGGACACGTACATTTTTTTAAACAGAAAACATAAAAATGTAAGTTGAGCCATTCCTTACCTGCTGAATGGAAGCCGACAAAAACGACTACGCGGGGTCGGGCGAGCCAAGGGGCTTAAGTACCCGGCCGTGGGGTGGAGGAGGGCAATGGCCTGGGTGTGGTGCGCTGTCACTGTGCCGCCCTGGCGGGGTGCGGTGTGGGAGTGGTGTCTAATAATAATTTTAGTAAAGGAGAAGGACTATGACCAGAATCAAGGAACATATACATGTTTGGAAACACAACACCTGTAAATCTCCCTTTGCCAATCATTTACTCCAGACAAGCCATACATTCAATCCACACACAGACATTCGTATACTGGAAGTAGAAAATCACTACTACACCAGATTAACTTTAGAAAACCTACATATTCATTTAAATAATAACTTATTAAATGAAAACATAAACCATAGTCCTTCTCCTTTTTTAAAATTATTATTAGACACCACTCCCACACCGCACCCCGTCTTCCATCACGTGGGTAGGATTCGCTATCCGTACAATTTTCCGCACAATTTTTTTTTGTAATCTAAAAGTATGGGAGCTATAAGATGTATTTTCTCATAATATTATGCCATATCGCGTGCGGGAAGGACGGGACTAATGACTATTGTCGTTAATAGTCGCGCCCAAAACACGGAATAATCAGTTGTAACATGTAAATTCTCGGCTATTCTTCCGGGAGACGCCGCGAGGTTGGCTGAGGTGCCGACGTTTCGCCTGACATGTCGTAGGCTTCCTCAGGGCAGTGATTGTTCGCCTGACAGGTCGTCACTGCCCTGAGGAAGTCTGCGACATGTCAGGCGAAACGTCGGCCTCTTAGCCAACGACGCGGCGACTCCCGGATAGCCGAGAATTTATTAATTCGAGCCGCGGAAGCTTACGTGTATAACTGTTGTAACATGCATTATCTTATTTTTCAGAACTCTTTTAAATGGCTGCACAAGGCATTTGATGACGCAGATTATGTGGTTTATGTAGCCTCCCCGACACCCTTCATAGACATTCGGTATGGTTGCCACCCACGTGAAATGTATGAAGTTCTGAAACTGATTCAACAGCCCAGAAGCAATCAAACAAACTACAGGTCAGGAAAGTTTACAAAAGCACCTAAAAGTCTTCCCAAAGAAGCTATAAAGCGCGTCCGAAGCAACGGACTAGAGTATACTATATAGTTTGTCTGTCCCTATAGTTTTAGCGCTCATGGTAGAGGCTCGCCGACCTAGTGGCCATGTTTTTTGAAGCCAAACATACGAGTGACGAGATTCAACTGCTGTACTGAATGGACGTTGTGATGGTGTTCGTATCACAACTTAATTCTTTATCGTTTTTCGTTTAACGGTATTCAAATAACCGAATAGAAATAACATTCACTCTTAGTCTTCATGCTAATTACAATAACATTTCAATAGCTTCCATTATTATGACAATAATCGATGCAGGAAGTAATATGTATTTAAATTTTCTCAATTAGTTCTCCTAATATATTAAGTTCGTTTTTAAATGAATGGTTTTTGATCGTGAGAACACACAATAAGAGGATTTATATTACGCTCGGTCCATGGCCACCAGTCCGTAGCCAGCGACAAATGTAATGCTAGAATTCTGTGTTTCCCAAAGGGCACTGCTTTGACTACAAAAAACATGGCTTAAATTTGCTTCAAAGATGGAGGCGCTTCAGCCACTCTATGAAGTATGTTCTAGCTCGTTGGTCCGCGGTTAAGAATGAAGTATGTCCTTATGGGCTTTCCCGGAAAATAAACATCGACTATTTTTTAAGATTTCAGAACTGTTTTAAATCGTCATTAACATAATTTTTCACAACAATTACATTAGTAAAATAATAGCTCGAATACATTATGTATTTTCCACAAATCGTGGTGAATATCTTTAGCATTTATTTATTTTTGTAGGAAGGGATACTTTGGGCTGTTGCCACACCAGTGGTGCCACCTGCTTCGGTTGCCATATCATACTGTGCTCAGAACGTTCGAAAGTTCTTTTTGGGGAATAAGAGCCATGCCCTTTTTGTAACTGTATGTAGTTGTCTTGAATTTGAGATATTATTGTATTGAAATAGTGGTGCACTTTAATCATTGATAACATACAATATACAAGCATTATAAGAAACTTGATCATCTAAGTATGTTGAGTATAACTTTTAAGGGACGTGCTACTTTTTAAAACACGCTAAGTAGCGCGCTCTCTTCCTGTCTAACCTTTCGCTCTCCCTCTCTCTCTCTCTCTCGCTCGCTCGCTCACGCTGTCTCGCTCGCTCTCTCTTTCTCTCTCTCGCATTTCCAAAAATTTTGAAGAACGCTCATTTTTAAGAAAGTAATGGGAAATGCAGTTAATGTACATTTCACAAAATAAAACAATATAGGTATTGCTACAAAAATATGACATCTTCTCAATTCACGACAAATTCACGGGTCTGACTTTCAAGACCATTCCACGCTTGTGCCATGTGTGGACACGCATAGGCGCTCGGCGAATCGAATTCGTTTCGATTGATCCTGCCGATGACAGGTCTAAGCGTGCTTCTCGAGCGTCTTCCTTTCCTCGGGCGAGCGGCACCGCTGATCCGTGGCTATGGCAACGTAAACAAATCCTCGGAAGCCCGTTGCTTCAGTGCAAGTCACGTGACGTACCATAGCAAGAGGCGAGAGAACTGTTAGAGCCGCTTACAAGCTGACGGAACTGTAACTTTGGGGATTCTTTTCGCCGATGGGGGGTAAATATGAAACAAAAATATGCAAATATGTTCCAAATATGCAAAAATAAGCAATTATGATGACCTATGCAAAATAAAAATTGCTTAAATTGATTTAAATGCCTCAAAACGTATACAATGTGTTGCAACGCGATGTTTTAGTGAACAGAAAAAATATGCAAATGTATATAAATCATAGCCCTAGTGATCAGCGAGTGTACTGCTACTTCCGACGACCGGATAATTGACAATACTGTGTTTAAAATCATACGCATGCTGACTAATGTTTTCAAAATTTCTAATTGTATTTTCCTAAAAGGCAATAAAAGCTGGAAATAATTCACTCTGATTACCGGTTTTGCCAGTATTATCAAGTGGGTGAAATTGGGTATAAGAAAATCAGTTTAAAGGAAGTTTTAATATTTCATGTATATGAAAGGAAAGCAAGTAAAATGAAAGTAATTAAAATGTTTGTCACTTTAGGTCAGACCGCTTTCTAGTGGCAGTGCCCCCATATTGCACCGAGGAAAACATTCCACTGTGTTTGAAAAATGTTCCACGATTTTATATCCCCGCGGAGCTGAAATGGCTTCTGTGGTTCCTCTACAACCGGCGATGTCGGAAATCTCCTTTCATGTGGATGGGTGAGTTAAATCCTTCATTTTATTCTTTTAGTATTTAGTAATGGCATATAGTTTTAGTATTTAGTAATTCAACACTGGCTAGAAAGTCTCTACATCTGGTAATAAAGTTGCAATTGTCAAGCTTGTTACATTATAGTTATGAGCAAACACAAAAATACTGACAATTGGCAAGTAATATAACACTGCTTAACAATAGCAATATGCCAGTTCGTTGGCCAAGATCGTTAGGTCAGTAGTGCTGTAGCGGACTCGGATCAGAAGAGCGCGGTTCGAGCCCCGCCTCGGGCATGGGTGTATTTGTGTATGTCTGCATGTGTGTGCTGTCCTTTCACCCCTCACTATCTTCATCATCGTCGTCCATACCCCCAGAGTTAACCACTTTGTGGGATAAAAATCGGGATTCAGCTAAAATGCCGACACCCTCCCCCCACGCGCGCACACACACACACAAAAGAAACTTGTACATGCTAAAGCAGGATGCAAGCATGGTCTGAGTTGGCCTCTTCGCGAAAAAAAAAAGGAATAATAATAATAGTAAAACTTTTCTTATAAAAGTAACAATTGGCGATGAAAATAAAGAAAAACAAATAAAAGCAAATAAAAACAATACTCTTCTTCTCAGGGCTTTTAAGCCGATAGCCGGTTATTCTTTGCCTCCCGGTGGGACGGATATTCGACCATATACTAGACACCAACAAAATTTGCGGCCTCATCTGATCTGGGGCCAGCAGAACGCGAGGCCCTCCGTGACAACACAGACTTGAGACAAGGGACAAACAACCATGCCCAAGGCGGCACTCGAGCCAACGACCATTCGAACCGAAGCGCTGAGTTAATACACGCTCTTAGCCATCTTGGCAATCCAGGTCGGCATAGAAGTAATGCTCGATACAAATATTATATAACAAAAATTCTGGCAATTGGCAAGAGAGTAATATCGCTATTTAATAACAATACCCTTATAAAAGTGATAATTTTAAAAAATAAATAAAGAAAAGCAAACAAAAACAATGTTGTAAAACAACTTATATAATGCTATTGCTATTACTACCTTTTTAATCTATTTTTATGTTTGAAAACCAATTTATTGTTTCTTTTGTTTATAAAAAATAAATTGTTCTCTTCTTTGTCTGATTTTTATTAGTGTTTGATGTCTTTAAATTTCCTTTTTAGTAGACTTTTGGCTGTGATTTCTAATAATTCATTCAGCAGTGAGTTGAGCAATCTTTGAATGGCTGTTTTTAGCGTTCTCTCTCTAAATTTGGGGAATGTCTCAAGTAATATGATGTTGTTTTTCTTTCGTGTTACATAGTTACACCCACTGGTAATTCGTATTCTTTGTTAAAGAAATTTATATGTAAAATTGGTAATACATATAATTTTGTATTGTCGTAATTCCAAGCACAGTAATGCTTCTTTTCTCCAAACACAAATTCCATATCTGAGAAAAGACTTAATTAAAAGACGTATATTAATATGAAACTTGGGTAGGACACAAAATTTTGTATTCTTATAAGTTTCCAATTACGCGTTCTAATTCTTTTAGTACTTCCAAAATATGCTTTCTCCAGTTCAGATTTTGTTCAAATATCACACCTAGGTATTTTAGTTTACTCACAGAATTAATTTTGGTTGACATTGACTGTCATTGTGTGTATTAATACTTGTAATTATGCTAATATATTTGAACTCTTGTTTTTATAGTGCACAGTGTTGACATAGTATGAAATATTATGTCATCACTGTCTATCAAATTATGTATATCAAGTCTATCAAAAGTAGTATATGTGGCGTATCTTTTCCAGAAAAATTAGCACACAATGGAACATTTCTGATTTCATTTTAGTAATCAGCGTATGTGATGTAGTAAAGAAGACATACTTTATCTTGTGACATGACACAAACTTCAAATTTATTACACTGTGTAATAATAACGACATATGTCTCACTGATGACCTATAATGTCTCAATGATGATCTTAAATGGAACTAAGTGTATTTTCAAATTTGACTACATTAGAAGGACCTCCAGTACTTTTGCAGGTAGTTTGTTCCAATCTACTATAATGCGATTCACAAAGGAGAACTTGTCTTTATCAGTTCTTTGCTTTCTACGTCTTATTTTCAATGAATGATCTCCTCGGTTTTTATAATATGGTTTCTGTAATATTTTACTGATATCAGCCCATGCTGTGTTCCCTTTGTACGAGTTGTACATTACACGTCAACGCGGCCATTCACTTCCCGTAGCTAAGGATTTCCGTTATTTTCCTTCCATCAACAACATGCCAATGATTTACAAACTTTCCGGTTCATTTTTACTTTCTAGCGCTTAAGAAGGAACGTCTTAAGAAGAGAAAGTTATGAAATACTGAGCGAAAAAAATGTTAAATTTCGGCAGAAAATCTATTATTACAGGGACCTGGTAACAAAACAGTGGATAAATACTGTTGCTAAATTTAGAGGAAAAAATCTTCTTACATGTCATGTAGCCAGAAACCATGTTTTGTGGGTCCTTGATACGAAAAAATTGATTTATGGCAGAACATCTGTCTGTCTGTCCATCTGAACAACGATAGCGACTAAACTATTCAACTAATTTTTGACAATTGATATTCCCTGATCGATCTGGCTCGCATCGATCTGGCGATCATGACATTCATTCAATTCATGACATAAACATTTTGATCAAGTATTTCATATTTACTTTTCAATTTAAAATAGTTTAATATGTTCCTCCTAAATACATTTAAAATACTTTTTAATACTAATTTTTCTGGAAAAGATACGCCACATATACTACTTTTGATAGACTTGATATACATAATTTGATAGACAGTGATGACATAATATGTCATACTATGTCAACACTGTGCACTATAAAAACAAGAGTTCAAATATATTAGCATAATTACAAGTATTATACACACAATGACTGTCAATGCCAACCAAAATTAATTCTGTGAGTAAACTAAAATACCTAGGTGTGATATTCGAACAAAATCTGAACTGGAGAAAGCATATTTTGGAAGTACTAAAAGAATTAGAAAGCGTAATTGGAAACTTATAAGAATAAAAAATTTTGTGTCCTACCCATGTTTCAAATTAATATACGTCATTTAATTAAGTCTTTTCTCAGATATGGAATTTGTGTTTGGAGAAAAGAGTCAAAAACACACTTAAATATAAATTAGAATTCATGTAATAAAGTATAAAGTGTAAGTAAAACATACACATTAGTCCACATACTAGCATGTGGACGTGTGGGGCTATTGTGGACACACACAAAAGCAGTTATTTTTGTTTCATGTGTATTTTTAAGATACTAAAATTAAAAATACTTTTAGTGAGCAGAAGATAACAAATAAATCTGGTTTTCATGTGAAGAACATTTAAAATCAATATTTTAAGATCAAAACTTTGTATTTACTTTTTTAATGGAATTGCAACTTTTTTCAAATTCACCCACAAAACACACTTTCCACCATTGCACAATGACAGCCAAACATCTACTGTCCAAACTTGGCAGGCTTAATAAATACTTTGGAGGCCAACATCTAAGAAATAATTTATTAAATTATGTTTCTTATCTATTGAATAAATTAATTTGACCACAGTAGCCCCACAGTTCATACTAACTCCCTTCTCCCCAACATTAATTCAGCTTCTCTCTTGCTGAAAATTGTAGAACATTTGTAGGACATTACAAATGTTCTACAATGTGAAAAATCTCTGTAAGGTTTTCTTTCTTTCTTTCTTTCTTTCTTTCTTTCTTTCTTTCTTTCTTTTTTATTCAATAATTCATTTCTGTTAGGTGTTTCGTTATGCCATTGTTGTAGCAAGTATGTACAGTAAGTATTGATACATATTTCTAGTGGTGTGTATTGATAGTACATGTGTGTCTACAATGTAGTAGGTAGAAAAAATTGACCAACCTCTAGTAACTTTTACACGCCCTTTTACTCTGTCTATATGCTTTCCATTTTGAAATGAAGAAATTGTTTTTGTGCAGCAAAAGCATACCTTCGGACTTGCTGGTGCCCAGGTCCAATGTCTACTTACCATTTGCATGGAACTCAGTTGAAAGAAAACCTGGAGCTCGCAGACACCCTAAACAAACTGGCTAAAAAGAGGATATCAGAGGGAACAGAATCCGTTCCGGGGACTATACTAGTTAGTATGAAGCATTATTTTTTTGGCTGTTGTAGCACTATGTAAATATTAACAACCTAACTAACAGCTTTTTTTGTGTATAAACATTATAAACAACCTTTTCAATTGCAAGAAATCATTCAGAAAATGGCATTTTATTGCACAGATTATGTCACATTAATGTGAATAACTATGTAATTACATGAATAACTGTGTCATCACACATGTCATAGTTTCATCCCAACTTACCTTTGCTGGGCTCTGGAATTGTATGAATAGCTTTCAGAGGAACCTAGTTTTTATTTACTCTTAATTGGGTATATTGGATATTGGACAAAATAAATCAATTAACTATGAAATTGTATTATTATTGTTGCTTGTCAAAATTAATGGAGTAGTTCATTAGGTACTTGAAATATAAAAAAGAAACAGAACCAGGTACATTAAATGTTTTAGTCATCGCTCTTCTATGTTGTTGTAACGTTTCTCGGTGGTGAATTAAAACTCACAATCGGGTAATATTTAACAAAAACCTTTACTTTGCTTCTTAATGCTACACTAAAATCTACTCGATGTATTTACAGATATATTACACAGTACTTGTGTTCTTCACATCCTTTTTTCTTACACACAACTCCATTCTCTTCATTATTTATTTACACAGTTCACTTCTACACTATTTATTTACACTGTTCTCTGCAATCTGATTATTTTATTTACACTGTTCGCTGCAATCTGATTATTTATGTACACTGATTACTTCTTCTACAGTATTACCCAGTCCAATGCACTGTCCACGGTCCACTGAACTGACCACAATTCCCTGCGCAGACCACAATTCACTGCACAGACCACAATTCACAGCGCAGACCACAATTCAATGGGGAGACCAGGGTCCACTGCACTGCTATTTACTGCGATGCACACTTCACAGCTCAGCTTCCACTGCAGACTTCAGACTGCTGTTCACCCACTGCACCACTGTTCACCGCAATACCCACTTCATCATCAGTGCACAGTACGAGTACAGCTCCCTGTGCCCACAAGCACCAAATATCCCGAAAATCACAATAATCTGAAAAAAAATAGAAAATACCTGTTCCAACAGTTAATAAATATTTCTATAATAATACTACTTAATAAATATTACTGTTGTACCTTCATCAAGAGATATTTCTCCTCAGCAACCTGTAACCAAATATTTTCTCTCATCTTTGGAAAACACTAGGTTTTTCAGATACATAACCGATGCATAACATTATAATACTTATGTCCAAGTAGCCAACTGCAAAACTGCTTTTGAAATAAATTTCCCAAATTTATTTTGTTTCCTTTATGAATTTATAATGCTATTATACAAAAAATAGTGTATACAACGTGTACATTAAGTTAGATTTTGGACTCGTAAGACTTACTGAACTCACTCCTAACTTGGTTTGTTCTGCAATATTTCCTTTTTGTGCAAAAAACATCAACATTATACATTTGGTGCACAATCTTGTATGTGTAAGTGTCTATTATGTGTATGTATGTTGAGTAACCTGGGGCATAATGGTTAGACCACTCACTTTCCACTTGTGGGTTCCAAAGCCCATATGTGGAATTTGGAATGAACAAAATGGATTTGTAGCAGCTTTGAGTTCCGCTTTCCATTCCTCCACATCTTCTTCATCGTCATATTAATCTTCATCATCTTTATCTTCTTTTTATCTTCATCTTCTCGTCCTTATTCTCTTCATTATCCTTTACAACCATTTCACCCATCACTCCTCTCATTAATCTAGCATTCATCAAACCAACAGCCTTATCTAACAAGCCCTACAATAAAAAATTAAATCAATGTTGCAGGGAGGCCCGACCACAGAAAGCATTCCCCCTTATCCTGGAAATGTGCGATATTACATGTTGAGAGGGCGTGAAGGCTCTCAGATTAGCCAAAGCGATGTTGTTTCAATGAATAGCACTGATGTAAACTCAATGGCTGATGAATACACTTCCCATGATATCACAGAAGAGGTTAGTGTAAAGAATTTATGCATTGTATTTATTCTAGGTTGTATTGAAATAAATAGATTTCAATGGCTTAGTGAAGAAATGTTCATTTGCTAGAAGAAGAAAAATGCACCCAGGAAACAGTATTTCAAATGGGTTTATGAATGCCACAAACCTTGTGAACAACCCCTCCCACCTCTTTTTCTAAGGTGGTGTCCAGTAACACAAATTGATCACAAAATATTACTTATTTTACTGAGAAAATGTGTCACTGTAGATGGGACATGGCTAATTTTACATGAAAACACATAAAAATTGGCAATTTTCTAGTGACTACAACTTCATGAATTTTTATTCAAATTACTTTTTGTTGGTATACAATCAGAGCTTAAAATCTGTATTTTAAGAATCATGCTTTGAACGATTTAACCATTTTACTGTAATCAGCAAACACTCAGAGCTGGTTTACGGTTCTCTGAGGCTTATGAAAATAAAATTCAGAGCCTCTCATAATTATGACGTCATCACCCATAAATTACCTAGCCTACATGGCTTTCCTTCATTCAAAAATTATCCACAATCTTATTGTTAGGTGATCCTCAATGCCAACTAATTCTGACTAAAATTATCAAAAATTAAAATATATAGCACAAATAAAATTAATACAACTCAGTGTTATTGATTTATAATTTATTTTTATTTACTGCAAATAGGGGATCCTGTTGCAAATGTAATTATACAGGGAGAGAGGGAACAATCAAAATACTCCAAATTTGCATTGTATAATTGATTAAAAGCCCCCATATTTTTATCAAATTTGAGACGTCAAGTAACATAATTGGAGAAAGAAGGCCAGAGAGAGAAAATATTAATACTGACTTCAAATAAGCGTATTTTTCAGAACAAGTACAATTGCGGATTTAGGGTGTGGGGAAATATTACAATTTGTGTGTGTATGTAAAGAAATAAGTACAATTTACCATAAAATTTACTATTTTTACAATGTTGTAATGTAGGCTCCTTTACTTTTTTCACATATGTAGCAAAGAATGGTAAATAAGTGATTCTGGTCCCATTTTCAACACACTCTCTGTGCTTTTGAAAATGAGAAAACATTCGGTATTGTTAAGGTGAATTTCCCGCGCTTTATTTCTCAAACTTACTACATGGTGGTTTCAAATTATATTAAATATTTCTCACTGTCCTGGTGATTGTATGATATAGATAAAATTCTTACGAAGGGAAATAGATTTCAGGATGGTAATATATTTAACAGAAACTAATTAATGCATTTCTTTTATTTAAGAAATTTTGATCGCTGACTATGGTATTCAGAAATTGTTAGCTCACTTTGCACTCATCAAGACAAGTTTGTGTAAAATATTTTTCGTTTTTTTTCTGTATAATGTGCTGTATATAATGTAACAGTTAAAATCATTCATATTTGTTTCATTTGTAAAAGTTAGAAAAGTCTACTGTTCCTGGCTATAGAAATAACACCACAGATGCCTTATTTCAATTGGTTGAATTAGGGTTTTTCAAGTTGTAACTGGGTTTTTAGTATGTTACAATTTCTACCATACTAAAAATAATCAATTATTTTAATATTATGTAACTACCACCAACAATGTAAGAAAGTATGTGCTGTTGTGGCTCCTCTAGTCATAAAATAAGTAATCTTTTGTGATCTGAACATTATTATGGGATATAGAGGACACTACCTCAGTAGAATATCTCTTGATGAAAATACCATTAAATAATGTGTCTCCTTAGTTTCCCAAAAAGGCGAGAAAAAAAAAGTGTTCATGGGGTTTTGGCACCCATAAACCCATTTTCAATACCTACCTTTCTTTGGTGCAAATATTGTGTGTATGTCAAAAACGGACTTTTTAAAAAAAATTTCTTCTCTTTTACTTTTTTCCCCCTATGCCATGTATATTTATTTTTTTCAAAAGATGCATCTTAACAACTCCATTAATGGGAATTATGTGTGTTGCAGGGAGGTTCAGAAGACTACAAAATCATGTTCTCTGCTGGCAATTCTCCATTTTCTGATACATTGACTTTCAAGAAATTTTTTTTCTTGGAAGAAGGGCTGGAAGGATCACTGGCTAGACAGAACAACGTTATTTCCAATATACATGTTGATACATTGGCTCTGTAAGGACATATGCAATGGGCCCACCTATGCTCAGGAGTGTGACAATTTTGCCCATGCCAATTTTACCCATGCACATATGTTGATGACTATAGCAGCACAGGGAAGAGTTAAACCTCTTTGACTCCTCAGAGAGTGCATTCATAGTTGAACTCTTTCAAGATTGTGTATTTTTCCCTTACCAAGTATTGTTATGGAAGAAATTATAAGGTATTCAGAAGATAAACAGAAATTCAGTGATGTTTGTATGATTATTATTGTTATTTTATATTGACGTTTCTGTATTTTGTTGTAATCATGAGAAATGCGAACCTGTATGGATCAGTCTGGCTATAAATTGTGTGCGTGTGGTGCCTTTGATGTTGAACGTGAAATGTAAACTCAATTGGGCAATCTTAACCCTACTTTAGTTGTGTTACAGAGGTTTTCTGTAGGTCTTTTTCCACTTGATCACCGTTTTGTTGTTAAAGTGAAAATGGACTAGCTGCTCTCCATGAAAATCTTTCAAAGTGGTTGTGACATGTACGGCAGTGGAGTTGAAATCTTGGATGGTGATGTCATTCATTCTAAATGATGTCGTACGCTTCCCCAGCCAGAGTCATGATCTGGGCTGTCCAGGTCTTTGTCTCCTTCAGGTTTGCTCACTACAGCCCTGAAGAAGACCAAAGTATGTTGGTTGAAACATCGGCACCTGAGCTTTCAACACAGCAGCATCCAGACAGCCCAGATCATACATTCTAACTGTATTGTGTAGTCTCTCAAAGGCTGAAAGATATATTTTGTAATTGGAAAACAAATCTTCAAAGCACAAGATTTTACGAGTATACTCAATCACTTTATTAGTAAATCAGAACCAATAATTGGTTCCTTCCAAAGACAAGTTCATTTCAGGAGAGAATTCAAGGAAAAAATAGTGCATAAAATAGTCCATGACTTTTCCAACCAATATTTAAATGGGAATATTGTTACATTTGGAATAAGATGTGAAGGAAACTGATAAATAGAATGGATATTATGAAATTGATCAACACTGAAATCGTTTTGATAATTAAATACTTTGTTTACATGCAGTGTATAATCCCAGTGTTTTCCTCTGTGATGGGGCTGTTCAAGGTGAATATATTCATGCAACTTAGCACACACGAAGAGGGTTAATAAAAGGATTTCTGAGCTGTAAATATGTTTATCCTAATCTTAAAGGATGCAAAGGATTTGAAGATAATCAATGATGAATCGCGTTCTTTTGAATTGATATGTCTGTAGTTCCTTCTCATGGCTGTGTGTTTTGATATTTGAGAATAATCCAGTGAAGATGCATTCTGGATTGTTAGGTATTGTTATACATTGTTTAAATGTTTTGCCAAAAATTCTTTTTCATTTTTGTAGCAGTTTTAAGATATTTAAAAGTAATATTTGTGTTTGGTTTCTGAAGTGTTAATGAGAACATTTAATTTGCTCCAGAAATATTTCATGATTTTGCTGGGAATTATAAAGATATATTGAAGTCATCCTAGTTTCACAAAGAATGTACTCTAGTTTTATAACCATAATTTATAATTATAGGAATAGATTTTTGAATTTATCAGCTTTTTAAATATGTGTAGAAAAAAATACCCCCACTTCCTAGATAGTGTGAGTACAAAAAATACATTTATTTTCTACTGAACTTTTGTTGTTCATTTACTTATTTGATAAAATACACTCCATAACAATGACAAATTAATGTAATGTTATGGTTATAAAAAAGCTATTGTTCAATGTTGAGGGAGTCGAAAAAACAAAACTACATTGCAGTGAGGTACTGCAAAAGATTTGATGAAAGCTTGAAACCCATAATTTGGAGAAAGTAAAAGATAAAATTGTTTGTGGGCTGTGTGTCTTATTAGATTTATTGGCATCTCACCAAAGACCTTTCAACTGTTTTCTTATTAAAATTTGTTTAACAATGTGGTTGTTATGCAAAGTATTACCCCCTATTCCTCAGAAAGAACCTTGAAAACGCTCTGAACACTAGAAGCAAAAGATGTAAAAAGTGAGTGATTTTGTGTTTCTTTTTGTTTGTTACAGTAAAAACCCTTTTTAACACTTTTCGGAACCAATGAAAAAAGTGTAAAATGCAGGAAAGTTGTATCATGAGAAAAATTGAATGAATGATGTGGTATATATTTTCCGTATTTGCGGAGTAATATAGAATAGCGTAGGATATTTATTTTGCTACTTAGGAATACTTGGAATATTTCCGATTGTAGCGTTTTCTAAGTACTTACTACAAATACACAATACAAACAAAAAAACATTACAATATTTACATATTACTTAATACAATTTCACAAGATTAATATATCAAACTTATCATGCTAAAGTTGACATAAAACAACATAAATTTAAAAAAAAAAATGTTGACATTAAAAAAAATACAATTTATATAATCTAATTTTAAAATTTTCGACATTCTAAAGGGAAGTCTCCAGCACTGTTGCAGGTAATTTGATCCAATTTTGTATTCTGTTTACCAAATGAGAATTTACCTACATCTGTTCTCTGTTTTCTTTGCAGAATTTTAGAACCATGATCCTTCCGCGCGACGTACTATGTGGGTTTTGAAAATCTTGCCCGTACTTCCCCCCACGAACGATCACCTTGTATTGATTTGAATAACGCACAAAGACGCGATTACTCTCGTTTTTACTACGTTTTTCTAAAGGTTCCCAAGATATAAATTCAGAATTAGAACGTCTTCTCCTAACAAATTTTGCGGCATATTTTTGTACTTTTTCCAGAGATTTTATTTGCCCTAAACGATGTGTCCCAACATATGGAGCCATATTCCAATATCGAAGTCGTAGGCTTCCGCGACCAGAGTCATGTGGGTGATCTGGGCTGTCCGGGTGACGCCGCGTCGAAAGCTGAGTTGCCGACGTTTCGACCATCCTGTCGTGGTCTTCCTCAGGGCCGGTATGCTAAAGCTGGTATGCTGGAAACTCTCGCATACCAGCCCTGAGGAAGACCACGACAGGATGGTCGAAACGTCGGCAACTCAGCCTTCGACGCGGCGTCACCCGGACAGCCCAGATCACCCATATTCCAATATCGGCTCTATTACAGATGTATACCTACTGAAGGGAATGTTATGTAATGCTGCGGAACATTGATTTCGAGACTTCAATGGAAATACACGGTTTGGGTTCCCCTGATACCGAAAAAGTTTGTTTTTTTCAAAACGTCCGTCCGTCTGGTGTCTGTGAACACTACTAGCGTAGGATTTTTTTTTTTTCCAAATTAAAGAAACCCCAGTCCATCTGGTTCGAGTCGAAACTCTGAGATTTTGAAAAATATTCTTCAAAATTTGGGGTACTTTACATGAAGCCATCCGGACGTTTTCAAAATGTTCTCAAAAACTGCTCCATTTTTTTTGCATTATATTTATTTAAGAATATAGTAACATACACTTATAGAATTGGCATAGGTCCTATTTTCACTGTTAAATCAGAATTGTCGAAAATTTCAAGAGTATGAATTTTTTCGGTGGCTTCCTACATCTACAAAATAGAGGATAGAGATTTTTCCTTGAAATAAAATGTGTTAATAATTCATATTCAAATAAATGTGTAATAATTAGTTATTTCATTAGTCATGTACATTTTTTAAACATTTAGTAGTTTTTGCGCAATATTGCATGCAATATTTGCAATTTTAAAATTACAAAAACAAGATTTTCTCTGAAATTTTTGCTGCTCCAATTTTTTTATTTAAACTTTTGGTAGTGATAGAGCTAAATGTATTCTGTGAGATGACAAACATGAGTTTGCTATATTCTTTAATTTTTTCAAAAATTACAAAAATGTATTTTTTTGGACTTGTCTCCCACGTTAATATTAATACTAGCGGCAATTTGTTCACATTATATTTACGAGTACATGTGCTTTAAATAATGTCATATAAAGTTTCTCGACAACTGAATCGTTTTCTGTGAAAACTAGCTCAAAATTCAGTATTTTCTCAAAAACTGTTCACAATTTTTTCTTCAAACACTTCGAACTGAACGTGCTAATTGCACTCTTTAATATGACGCAAAATTCATTTTACGGTAATTTTTTTCAAAAATTTTTTTCAAAAATTACACAAATGTAAATTTTTTGTAAGATCTCTCACGCCGTTGACATGCACATTTCCAGCAATCTGTAAACTCTCGTATTTGTGAGTGCTTCAAATAAATTCTAATGAACATTTTCGAAAACTCCAAATTTTCCTGTGAAAAGTTTCAAATTTCGAATTTACAATGACGCTTAAGCGCCATTAAATGACTCCAGATTTTTCAAGGAAAATTGCCAATTATTAGATTTAATATTCTTAAAATAATATATCGGATCTACTATTAGGAAACTGCAAAATTAAGAAAATGTGAATAAATGTACTTTGGGCGACGATAGATGGTAGCTGGCAAGAATATGTGGCAAGTTCGAATAGCTAACCGAGACCACAGGAAATAGAAAACTAATATGGGGAAGTCTGTGCCATTCTGTAGCACCACTAGTTTATTTTTTACTCAATGTGTATTCTCAACGTATTGATGTATGTCTTTTTAAGCAATCCGCAAAGCTTAATACAAATTTCGCAACAATGCCACATCGACTAAGAAGCACTTGAGTACATAGAGGAGAGATACAACTAGAGTGCGCCTGCCTGACCCTACTGCGCCAAAGAGTATATACTGCGCAGGTTTTAACATGCGGTGGCCGCAAATCACCCAAATCACGTGACTTTGGGACACCGGTAGTTTCTGGGTAGTTTGTTTTGCATTGTGTTGTGTGTACCTTTCCGTTCTGTTTGCTATTTCTGGTGCTACAGCGTAATTATTTGGGGGCGTTGTGGCGTGCTGCAAACGATCCACACGTGTTTAAGCTTCGTTAAGAACCATGGTTCAGTATTGTTGTTGTTTTGGCTGCAACGAGAAGTACGTGAAAGGAGGAGGAGTCACGTTTCATAGGTAGGTTATTAATTTGTTTTAATATTTTATTATACTTTTAGTTCTGCGTTAATTATAAATATATGATTCTTCCATATTCGCATATATCTTGGATGATTTTAGTGGATTTATTTTGTATTTTAGTTTTCCTAAAGATGAGGCAAGAAAGAAAGTGTGGGTGCAAAAACTTAGGAGAGAGAATTTTACTCCTACAAAATTTTCAAAAGTTTGTTCAAAACATTTTGAAGAAAACTGTTTTGATAGAGAAAAGTTTGGAGGTGTTTGGCTTAAAGCTGATGCAGTACCTACAATATTTAATTTTCCTAAACGTTTGATTAATCAAACTACTAGAAGAAAATCCCCTGTAAAAAGAATAACAGATGTTAGTAAGTTTAAAGAAATCTTAAAATATTTTCTGAAAAGAATTGTAATAATTAATGAGGAATGATTTTCTGATACATTTGTCTGCTGATTCAGCAACACACACTCATTCAAAGGCTTCTTCATCTGTACCTTGTGCAGATGAGTCGCACAGTGAAAGAAGTGTAAATGATGAAAGTACCTCATCAACTGAAAAGATTTCTGCAAGTACAAAGCGTCCTTTGAGGTATGTGCAACTTGACTAATAGGGCTCTCCACAAAACAAAGAAATAGTCTTCTCACGATGTTCCTTGATGTAAATTATTGCAAAATTATCTTTTTCTTTTCAAGAAGTGCAATAACTATTTAACATTCTGCAATTGTGTTTAGTATGTTAACATTTTTGTCTATTTATTTCATAGATATATTGGTGACTTTGTTGATGAAGATATGGACTCTCCATTGAAAGCCAGACAAGTTTTAAAAATAGCTCGTAAACAAATCTGTCAACAGAAAAAAAAGATTGTGCATTTACGGTCACAGAATATGAAGTTCAGAAGGAAAATTTCATCATTGGAAAATCTTCTTACTGAAATCAAAGAAAAAGCACAAATGTCTGATGATGCTCTTCACGTCTTAAGAGGTATGAATTTGAATACACACTTGCAATATGATCTAATTAGGAGGATTTAATTTACAATATCTTAAATTTCACATGTTAATCAGTATCAAATCTCAAGATACCTATAAGAGATGCATAACTAAGAGCGAAAGGCATATATGATTAATCTGAAAGGCATGATGATTATCTTCTCACGATCCAAGTAAATATCAATTATTTTTATTTTTTAAAACATTTTATTTAAAAATATCATATATTGAATATTTTGTATTGATGTCTCATTTATTATTACTTTCAGACGACTCTCCCAGGTCCCAGTAAGGAATTGGTGAAGAGGTCAATGTTTGATGGGAAAAGGCAGTATCCTCCAGACCTTAGGTCATTTGCCATGACACTGCAATTTTATTCATCAAAAGCCTATAATTATGTGCGAGAAAATTTTAATTCTGCCCTCCCTCATGTATCCACATTGAGGAAGTGGTATACTGTTGAAAGTGGTTTACCTGGTATTAGTAAAGGAGCATTAATTGCCTTAAAGGCAAAAGCTAAAGGAAAAGAAGTGTACTGTTGTCTAATCATTGACGAAATGGCCTTACGCCAACATGTGGAATGGGATGGTAGGAAGTTCTCTGGCTATATAGATTATGGTACAGGTCTTGATAACGACCAACTTCCTGTGGCTGAAGAGGCCTGGGTATTAATGCTGAATGCTGTTAATGGCCATTGAAAACTACCAATTGGGTATTTTCTAATTAATGGTTTGGGAGCATCAGAGAGGGCTAATTTTATTAGTCTCGCTCTGGATTATTTGTTAGAAACAGGGGTGAATGTTGTATCACTGACATTTGATGGCCACAGTAGTAACTTTGCAATGGCACGATGCTTGGGTGCAAATGTAGATCCAAGTAGTGACAAGTTTTGCCCATTTTTCAACCACAGCTCTTCAGGAGTGAACATTTATATTGTTTTAGATGCTTGTCACATGATTAAGTTAGTGAGAAACATGTTAGCAACAAAGGGCATTCTTTTAGATGCAACTGGAAGATGTATAAATTGGAAATACATTGAAAATTTAGCAGAAGAGCAGGAAGAAGAGGGTTGCTGCTACAAAACTAAGAGCTAGGCAAGTTCAATGGGAGAGGTAACAAATGAAAGTGAAAATAGCATCACAGACTTTTAGCACAAGCGTTGCTAAAGCATTAATGTACATGGAACATGACCTTGTCCATCCTTCTTTTACAGGGGCTGATGCAACAGCCAACTTTGCCTTGGTCTTTGATGGGCTGTTCGATATATTGAATAGCAAGAATCTCCTGAGCAAAGGTTAAAAAGGTTCCATTAAGGCCTGAAAATGCCAGTGAAATATTTGAATTTTTAAGGAGCAGTGAAGAGTATATTCAAGGTCTCTGCCTAGAAAATGGGGTTCCTGTACTAGAATCCAATAGAAAAACTGGTGTAATGGGTTTTATAATTACATTAAGAAGTGTTATGGGATTGTATGAACAGTATGTGAGGAAAGGAAAGCTCAAGTTCCTCGTAACCTACAAGTTTAGTCAGGATCATCTGGAAATGTTTTTCAGCTGCATAAGGAGCAAAGGCGGATTTAACAACAATCCTACTGCTAAGCAATTTGCTGGGGCTTACAAGCGATTACTGGTGCATCACCAGATTTCTTCTGCCTTTGCAAATTGTGTTCCACGGGATGAAACAACGGTATTAAATGTTAGTTCACGCCAGTATGCAAGTGTGTCACAAGTGAATGATCCTGAACTGTGCATTGAGGTGCCAATTGACCACATGTACTTGCCAACAGTAGACAATCTTGAAACTAGATTGTCTCCCTACGTTGTGGACATTGTAACATATATTGGAGGATTTGTAGTTAAAAAGTTGGAAATGTCACTTGCTTGTGTTGACTGCAAGATGGTTCTTTGCCGGACTGAAAGTGATGAAGAATCATATTCCTTCATTCAGAGGATGGACAACCATGGGCTGAAATACCCTTCTGCAGATGTTGTGAAAATCTGCAAAAGAGCAGAAGTAGAAGTAAGAATACTTCAAGGGAGAGGTGACATTTTTAAAAGGGCAGCTTACACTAAAATTGTTAATAGATGTTTGAGAGATTTTGTAAATAATTCTGTTTTTTATAATTTAACGTATCATTATTGGTCAAGAGGCCATGCTGAATCACAGGATGTATTTGATTTAGGCAGTATTATTTAAATATATTGAAATTAGATTAAAACATAGGAAGAGAAAAGACTCAAATTTACCAAAAAAATAGAATTAGATCTGTTAATAATAAAATGATTTTATTTAGAGGGCATTAATGTGTGTGTAATTTATTGGTGTTAGTAGTATTTATTTTGTATTTTCTGGTGTGTTATGTTTGTAGTGTTAGTAGTATGTTAGTGTTTATAGTTTGTATGATTGTAAGTATTTGATTTTTATTAGTAAATTCATTGAAAATAATGTATTTCAGCTTCCGAGTCAAAGAGCCCCATCTCAATCAGGTTTTTGTCCAGTTTCCCTGATCCATTGAGCAAATGCTGAGATGGACCGTTGTTTTGCTTCTGAACGTAAATGTAGCATCACTATGCACGTGTTTTGTTGAGCACTCCTTTTGCTTGTAGTGATAGGAGTAAAGCCAATGTTATGTTACTGTTTTGTTAGTAATACCAAAAAATGATAAAATCTACAGTTTGTTTATCGATGCAAATAAGTTTTGTATAACTTGCGAAGGAAAATGTCAAATGTCTACAGTTGCAATGTTGGGAAGAGATTTTCAGGCTCAAGAAAATTTGTGCAGATGGTACTTGTCCTCTCTATGTCACATACAGTATTTACTGTTTTTGACTAAATAAATCAAAATATATGTCAAAATAAAAATGTGTTTTTTTCCCCTCTACAAATCCTTGAAATATTTCGATACCTTGCTGTTATATGTCTGATGTGAATTATCAATAGCAGAATGTCTAGCATTGAGTAGTAATAGAAACTTGGATTAATGCCTCACATGGAGTTAATTGATTTTACAATTTTTTTTATTGTCCTATGTAATTGTACTTGTTTTACAAGTGTAGTGGGGTACGCGGTTGAGAGTGACAAGTTGGTCAAAAATCGGAATTTTTATGTCCTTAAATACAGCAGAATAACTTAAAGCAACTTTTCTGCTTTAAGCAGCATTCATAGGGCTGTGTAATAAATGAGAAAATAACGCTAGAGTGAAGCATGTTAGACGCACGTATTAAAAGAAATCATTTAGTACGAGGCGGCTGTATAGCAGATGCCTCCCAGCTATCCCGCACGTGACTCGGGCGCGAGATGTTGATACCCAGCCAGGCCTGCGCAGCCTGGCGCGCACTCTAGTTGTATCTCTCCTCTATGCTTGAGTAGCTCTTGTTTTGTTTATATCATCTTCTCATGTTTTGTTTATATCATTTACTTTATTGTTTATAAGTATATTCATTTTTTAAATTGCTTTGCTGCATCATAAATTGTAACATTGTTTCATCAATATTTGATTAATACCTTTTTTTCTAAAGAATTCAGTAGTTAGTGGAAGCCCCTTTAGGGAGTAAACCTTCATGTCTATGCAAAACACACATATTTTATAAAAGTGCAATTAAGTCGAAATCCCCTACCGAACTGATATTCTCCCATAAAACGTTTATATAAAAACGATCGATTTTTTCCCTCTAAAGCAGGGCTGCAAAACGCCTGCTTCCGCGGGGATGAATAGTTTCTTTGCTTTAGTAAAAGAAATAGAAATTAATATCGTATCTGCCAAGTGACTTCTCAAAAGACTGTCATGGGTCGTATATCTCGTGTTGCACCGCCACCCCAGAGCGTTGTAGAATCCTTACTTTTAAACGATGCGCCAGTAGCTATGGAAGTCGTGCTTGCCAACTCATCAACATAAAAACTAAAAATACGCGAAAATAGGTTGGTACTACATCTTGATTTGCTATAGCAGCGTAGCAAACGGCAGGAGAAAGAAGCTTTTCAGCATTAAATTTGCTGATTTCGAAATGAACCCCTCTGTCGATTGTGTCCAATGAAGTTATACTATGGGGACATGGTTTGTTCTATGGTTTTAATAAATAATAACATCCTTGACAGTCGTCTTGGTCCCTATCGATTACGTAGGAATCGAAAGAAATGTCGATTCCGTAATCAGTGCGTGCCTAGTCGTGTCTCGTGCATGGAGGAAAAACACGTGTTTTGCTCCGTGAGGGTTCGCGATGTGGCAGGACGTCGTGTCCACAAGACTTGTTCGTTGCGGCCACGCATCGGCAGCGGTGGGACCCCTGGTGTTCACGTTCGGAGGCTATTCGCTCGTAGTCGATGCTCACCTGTCGTCTGAGAATACTTCGTTGCCGCCCATGGAGGTTTTTGTCTACGACACCAGGTGCGTGACGCTACATGCTACAAGAGTCGTACCACGAGACGACCTCAAGCGCGCATCTCGCACAGTGTAGCCAATAAACGAACAGACCGCATGTCGCGGGAATTTTAACACGGTCAGTGCCACGCATTCTCCACGATGTAAGATGGTTTATAAATCAATGTTAATAATCCATCGAAAAAATCCATTGAAAACATCGATGTTTTAAAACTAGTTTAGTATCATCTAAAATTTAAATTGTGCACAACAAAATTTGAACGATGCCGTGATTATTAATGTATAATCAAAATTTAACAATAAGAAGAACAATGGACAAATCTACGCCTAAAACCTATCGCTCAGAGTCATCTCAAAACAACAGCCCGTAGGAGAAGGACGCGGGAAGTAGGATGTTGCCGTTATGTTAAGACATAGTAAATACTACGAGGACATCAAGGTCATCTCAGGCGAGAGGTAGTCTGCTCGATGAAAGTTGTACAAACAAGGGGCGGTCCGGACGATTATTTTGGAGGGGGCCACCACAGAGTTTTGTTAAATAATAAACATTTGTACCGTATTAAACTGTAATTACTTTTTTGGATTTGAAAGAGCGGTAAAACCATTATATTAAAAATAATTATCTAATTATGGGCCTAAAGATTGTATTGTAATGAATAAATCATTTAAGATTTTTTAAGATTAAAAAATCGATAATTTTGTATACGGCAATTATTTATTACTTTCCCGTATACGTAGTAGGTATATACGGTGTAATATACGTAGTATAGGGAAAGGTGTGTAATGCTGCGGCAAATCGATTTCCAGATTTCAACGGAAATACACGTTTTGAGGTCCCCTGATATTACTCGCGCAACTTTTCTTGAACCCTTCTATTAATTACTTCTATTAGCTCCGCGATTTTCAAAATCATTCATTAGTTTTGAAAGGTGCTGTACATGAAGACCCGGGGAAATTTCGAAATTTTCTCAAAAACGGCTCAAATTTCTTCTTTAAATTTCTTGTGCGAACAGAGTAAAATGCAATTATAAATGTCGCATACGTTCGATTTTCACGGTTAACTCTGAATTTTCGAAAATGTCAAAAGTTTGAAATTTTTCGGGGTATTCCTTCAATTACAAAATTAATGATAGAGATTTTCCCTTCAAATTAAATTTTTTGTCCATAATTTGTTCTTTCATTTAAGTCATCTACATTTTTTGACAATTTTAGTAGTTTTCGCACAACATTACGTGCAATTTGTGTAACTTAATAAAATATTCCTAGAGCTAGCTTCTAAAAATGGCTTCTCGAAAACTCAACCGTTTCTGTCAAAACTAGCTGAAAATTTCGCTATTGCAGAAACGCTTAATCGCCATTTTCTCAAAAATGGCTCCAATTTTTTTCTTGAAACACTTCGAAAGGATAGTGTCAATTATACTTTTTAATATGACGTAAAGTTTATTTCGGGGAATTTTTTTTGTTTTTTCAAAAATTACACTATTGTAATTTTTTTAATGATCTCGCACGCCGTTAATATGCACATTTCCGCAATTTGTAAACACTGTTGTATTTGTGAGTTAAAGTGCTTCAAATGAATTTTTTCGAAAACTCAAAAATTATCTGCGAAAAAGAGCTTCAAATTTCGAATTTACAGTAGCGCTTAAACGCCAGTTTTTTTAAAAACTGCTCCAAACATTTCACAGGAAATTGCCATTTAGGACTAGGTTTTACTGTTCTGTAATAATCCTAAAATAGTATTTCCGCTCTACAATTACGAAACCGAAATATTAAGAAAATTTCATAAAAATGTACTTTGAGCGGCGATAGATAGCAGCTGGCAAGAACATGATGCAAGTTCGAATAGCTAATCGAGACCATAGGAAATGGAAAACTTATACGGGGAACTCTGTGCCATTCTGTAGCCCTACTAGTTTTTAGTCCTGTAATAAACTTTTTAAAATTTTTATCAGGTGACCCTATCGTCGGCCCTCGTGTTCGTAGGCCCTAGGCACTATGACTAAGATGCCTACTTGTAAATCTGTATATTGTATATTGTTTCTTGTACTGTATATATGATACTGTTCAATATTCTCAAATAATTACATAATTCTAAAATAAATAAACAATTAAAATCAATTTTGTCAAATAAATGAAGGAAACAAACGAAAACTCTAGATCTTTGGGGGAGGGGGGATCATGGAACCCCCCAAAAACATTAATGTCCAGAGGTTTGCAATCCGGTTTTAAAAATATCGATGCTGAAAATCTCGATGATTTTGGCACGAAGTATTATTAACATCGTTCTTTTAATTTTGAACATTGATATTTTCAAACATGGATGTTTCTTTGGCAATGGCGCATCCCCACACTACAGTACCGTCGCGTTCTTAAAATAATGCGCCTCAGTCGGTTGGTTTATTGAATGTTGATTGATTTTTTTTCGGGCCCATCAAATGCCCGAAACGAAAAATATAGTCGTTATCGCTGTTAGTGTAGTACACGTGATATCCTGTGAGGTGGCGGTGTTCTATGGTCGCCGAATCTCACTGTCCAACTGAATGGTGAAATCCGGCGACATCCTACACGTGAGAATGAGGGTCTTCCTCTTCAAGGTCCCTCTCCCAGGGGTGCAGCATCCCAGCCAGGAAGTGTCCTACGCTCTCGGCTGGTATTTTGGCACGAGTTCTACTGTAGTATATAATGGAAAGTACCCAAACCCGGGCCCTCATTTTGTTTTTGAATATTAAAACTGTTTAAGAAATGGGTAAAAGTAAATGGAAAAAATGCAAATAGATTTGAACTCTAAAAACTGAAATAGATCGATTTATATAATTTTAAAAGTTTAATATTTTTACAAGGCAAGTAAAATAAATTACATTACCCTACATACATAGCTTGTAATGCCCTTTACAAAATAGTGTAATGGTTAGAAGACTTACCGATCAAATGGCGAAGTTAGTCGAGTAATAATAAGTTATATAAATTAAAATTATGGAAGTAAGAGTTTGTAAAAATTTATGGCACACACAATTTTTTTTCAATTTTTCTTTTATGGTACATTTAAATCGTATTTTTAAGAGACAAAACCTAATTGGGCTAATCACAATTAAGGTTTTCGGATTGATTGAAAGAAAACACAGCAGGACATTGAGAATACAAATACATTCCTCGCAACACCAGCCAAAAATATTAATTTTCAAGTAGACTTTTAATAATTTCTAAATGCTCGAATGCAAGAAACGAACAGAGAAATTGTAGCACCTATTGAGGCAGATGGAAAAGTCTCCAAAACGTGATAAATTTCTGTATTTTGAGAATTTTACGTTGTTGTTTTTTTTCATTTGAATATAATAAATGACATGATGGAATATATATTCACCTGCCTTTCTTCAGGAGCGGTGAGTCGGTCGAGCTGCCAACGCCGGCAGAGGGAAGCGAGCAGTACCGCGAGGTGCCACGGAGGCGTCTAGGGCATTCGGCTGTCGTCTTTGAAGACAGCATTTTTGTGTGGGGAGGCCAGATTGTGGTAAGTCGTTACTACGTAGCCAAAACATGTAGCTTATTATTATTATTATTATTATTATTATCATTTCTCTCGCTTAGCGAGGTGCCTATAGCAGACACCGGGACCTTTGGAGAACCAAGGTTCCTGCTTCGCTTGCAAACTCGGGCGGTCAGTTATATCAATAAAAACTTCCCCACGATGCGTGCAGTACTCAGGAGAACAGCCTTTTGCATTGTTTGAATGTGCCAGTTCTTAAGGCCAAGCCTTGCAGACGATGAAATTAGGTCTTCGGAGACCAGTCCATTTGCAGAGATGACCTCAGGGACTTCTTCAACTGATACTAACCGCGCCACATGTCTCTTAGGTCAATAGCCAAGGCCTGATATCTTCGCTTCTTCTCGACAATAAATGCAACTATATTTCGGTCTAAAGGAATAGCTATGTCAACTATAATCCCTTTCCGTGAAGCCTTGTCAATCCATATTATGTCATGTCTGTTGGCTTCGACCCCGCGATCAGTGGTGTCTGCTACATTTTATTATTATTATTATTATTATTATTATTATTATTATTATTATTATTATTATTATTATTATTGTTGTTGTTGTTGTTGTTATTATCATCATCACAGAAACAAGTTTGCCGCAATTAGACTCATTTCTCAGGATATTATTGGTTGATAGATTCCTTCTTTTTCTGAAAATTCACTCTTATATGTCCATAAACACACTGTCTTCAAAACTAACAGTGCTATATAAAGGTGATCAATATACTGTATGTGCCTCATCATACTTGGGACATTCCTAAAACAACTCTGGTTCAATTTACTCAAACTTCAACCTGTCACAATAACATCGTATGTACCCTCAGCAGGCGAGCAATGCAAATAACTCCCAAAATGACTGAATTATGACTGTGACAAATGTAGAATTAAAAAAGAAACCAAAAGATGGTGCCCTAGGCCGTTTACAATTAAGCCACTCAACAAGCTACACTGAGATATTGACTTTCGTTTCTGCTAGAGATTGTCAAGCAACTGGTATAGTATAACACTGCAGTAATGAAAGCAGTATCTTACGAGTATAATGTAATAATTATGTATGTTTTTATGATCACCTGATTTACGGAATTCTTTCGACTTTCCATAGTCTTGCCTATAAAACTTACAGAGAAAATGGCATACCACTGAGGCTTTTGCGAAGTCTTCAACAGAAAAAACATGGACAATATACTACAGCGACAAACTAAATGATGATTATATGTAGACAATTACAGATGTAACAAGATTGACTGAGGTAGCAAGACAAATGGAGGACAAGCAAGAACCGCAATTTCATAATTTACAATAAGGGACACATTTCAATTAGAAAATGTATCTTACCTTTCGCATTGAGTGGGTCCGCAAGCGCGGGCGACGCTGCCGCGTTGCTGCCGTCCGTCCGTCCGTTCGTCCGTCCGTCCGTCCGTCTTTTCGTCAGTCTGTCCATCGGGATGGTCACTTAGTCCCAAGATCGGCGGAAGGTCGTTGACGTCGGCGGCAGTAAAATCGATTTATCCTCCTGCAACAGTAAATTCGAAACTAATTTGTCTACATTTTTGGGGGTTTCGTTTTAACTAAATATAAATAAGTTTTTATTTAAAAAGGTAGTGAGTACCGAGTAATAAACTCGGCACTCACCTATGTACGTAAGTACATAAACGTACCTAGATTAATAAACAAAAGCAATAGAAAATACTGCGTTAAACAAATTAGAATGCGGTTATAGTACTCACGAATGCACAAAAGCAGAAAGTTTACTATGTGCACAGAATTTTTAAATGTATGATTGTTCCGCAGGGTTTAGTTTTTTCAAGTTAGAAATTTCAAGTTTGTTTTGTAAAACATTATCTTTATTGATTTGCTCTTCAATGTATTGCCAAAATTCACCCGCGTACAAAATACCTCAATATAAATTAGGGTAAATTTCAAACTATCTACAATTATTTTTCATTGATTAGATATGACGGTCAAGAGACCCGCAAATCTTCGAATTAATGACTATTTCGAATTATGAATGTTCTAAATACGCAATTCCACTCTATAATACGTACCAGCCTCTTAAAACATACCGGAAGCAACTAAACAAAATGTACAGTGTGTCTAGTTTCTAGAAACTACAAAACATTGGAATTTTTTTGCATATTATTTATTATGAGCAAAAGTTAGGTTAATAAAACACGTTTTTCTTATAGTACGTCTCCACCAGCATTAAAACGAATTGGCCCTAGTCGTCAGGGCTATATGGGGCTTTTGGAAAGGCACCTGGCGATACAATTTCCAGACTTCCCGTAGACGAGTGACGCAGCGTTTGCTATAGATTGTGCGAAGACGGAGGTCATGTAAAGATCAAGACTTCTAGTAAAGGAAGGCTCATCAGAATAATTCAGTTTGCAAATCGTAGAATCATGCAGATAGGATTCTCAACAAAGTAAGAACGGCGTCTGCGACTATCTTCGTTATAAACATGTGGCATGGAAGTATGTACTCGCAGGAAAGGACAGTCGAATTTTTATAGAGGGCCCGAATCCGGAAATCAAACTTCGTATAACAGTTTGTAAAATAACTCGAAGTCACAACCATTACCACAATATGCCAAGAAACTAACTCACTGCAAGTGTGAAAACGTAGGAAAAACAGATTTATTGCTGCTTTCAATTTCAAACAGGGTTTCCCATTCACAATTAAAATGAACAATATGTTGGCTGATGATAAGGTAACAACATATATATGTCTCTCGAACCAGTCAAACCTCAAATGAAAAAACATTTAAACGAATTGAACGCTGTGGACATAAAGTTCATTGCGCTACGTTACACATATTTCAAATTCAGTCAAGTCTTCTTGCGCCACCTTGCGTGAATTTTGCAAATGTACATTCTCGCCTGAGATAGAGCGATATGCAGTGTACGATATGTTTCGACAGAAAACATATTATATGTATTCTGTGGAAATAAATTGCTTATTATCCAAACTTTTATATTGCAGGAAAAGGCGAATAATAAGCAAAAGCCGTTTGCGTCATTCCCTGAACCGAAACTACTATAGCCTTCCATGTTTATATTCAAACCAGTAGCCCGTTTTCCAGAGCTGTCTTAAGAATGCGAAAAAATACAGATGTTTGCAATTAAAACACGTCGTACAAATCACATTCTCCAGCTCTCAACCCAAGAAATTCACATAAAATACATCTGTTTCTTTACAAATATTGCCAAATGACATTAAACAATTAGAATCTGTACACAAGTTTGTGCCAAATAAAACCTTTTCTGTTGCTTAAGTGTAACAGTGGGGGAGAATAGAGGAAACATTGGGCGGTGAAGATAATAGTTATAATATTACCCCAATAGTCCCCAATATTACCAGTAATTGCAGCTCGAGTCATGAAAATTCCAGTCTCCTCCTCATCGCTTCTCCTCTCCCTGAAGCGGTGCTGTGGGAGACGCCAGATTTGTGCAGGACCTGCGGTCACTTCCGATGAAATTCGAGGGTCGCTGTGTTATCGCCTTCCACTTACGGAGTTAGGAGAGGTGTCACAGTAGGAGCGGATCCAGCCGATTATTTTTTGGGAGGTGTATATTTTTGTATACATATATTTATTTAAATAATAAATGTATTTATTATATTTTATATTATTTAGAGATTCACCGGATGAACTCTTTAATGCAGATATGATGATGCAGATGCCATGGGCATACCAGCCCTGTATGTAAGGGCATACCAGCCCTGAGGAAGACCACGACCAAATGGTCGAAACGTCGGCAACACAGCCTTCGACGCGACGTCACCCGGACAGCCGAGATCAAGCATTTTTTTAAATTTGTCCGAAAGTACGAAAACATTTTTAAAATTAGCTTCGGCTATTTTACTTGGGAAAAGAGATTTACCAGATGAACTCTTTAAAGCAGATAAACGTCTTTTTGAGATCAAAAAACGAGTTGATAAAAGAGCTCGTGCGTATACTACGCTCATTCTGTCCGGTATTTGACAACGGAAGATCTTAAAGCAAGGTGGAATGATAACAGAACACCATAGAAGTAAAATATATCTAAAATAAGATGTGAGGAGATGGAATAATGATGATATTTACAGAATTAGTTCATTTTTTAAAATCATTTCCAAATCAGACACTATATTTTGAGTAATGCCTCAAACAATTTTAAGATGGTATTCGAAGGAAGACGGAAATATGTGAAAAAGATAGTTATGTACTACTATTACAGACCATGTACCTCGGTCTGTAATAGTAGTATAGCATCTCTAGTTTGATACCTGTGGAAGAATAGATTGAGATGCAAAGTGACGAACGCATAAACCGAGTGTGTGGCTTGTGTGTCCCGCAAGTCCCGCATCCTCCGTCAGGGCTGGCCGCACGCAACCGGGCCTGGCCGTGCTGACAGAGGGCCCACAACGGACGAGTGGGTGACGCATTGGCGCAGAAGGGTAAGGGGGGAGGTGTTTTCGTCAATTTCACTTTACGACGCTCTTATTCGTCCCATTTGCATGATTGTCACAGCGTTGGATTCAAGAAGCATGACGCCATCGTGCTATAAGCACACATTTTTTTAATTTGTTCTCGGAAGTTTGAGAACTAATTTCAAATTCGCGTTTTTGCTAGATTTTTGGAAAAAGGTTATCGTAGCGTAAATTCTAATTTAAAAAGGCGTCAAATGCCATTTACAGATCGAAAGTCGGACCAATGGTTCAGACGTTATCAGTAAAGTAAATTTCCCTATTATAGTGCTGCGATCTATTGAATTTTCCTACAAAAATTTTAAACCTACTACAAAATTTCAACGTTTACACTTCTATTTGGACGCAATAGACGTTAATTAGTAAGTTTTGCGAGTTTATGAAAAAATAAGCATCTCATCTAAAACAGGTATAACCAATGCATTCGCCATGAAATATCGTGTAAGGTCTGGGTACACCTCACGACGAGAAAATCAATGGTGAATTTCAGATTTCAATCCGACTATTAGTT